TCCGAGACAGATGCCGTGGCCGCCTGCTAGCGAGGAGGTTGGTGAGGCTTCAGCTGGCTGGGGGATGTGACTACGACTGCTGCTGCTGCTGCTGCTGCTGCTGCTGCTGCTGCTGCTGCTGATGCTAGTGGTGATGCTGACGATGATGCTGATGATGATGACAAGGATAATGATGACGACAGTGATTCTGATGATCTTCATCATCATCATCATTATCATCACAATGACCATCAACGCCATCACCATGGTATGCAGTTACTACACAGGCACCCATTTGCCCTCACATCTTCGGCTCTGCCTCCGGCATTCTAGGCGAGCGCCGTGGAATCTCGACCTCGGCGATGGAAAGCATACGTGGCGAGTGCCTTGTGCTTGGCGGATCTGTCCCCGCGCTGGATCGAACATGCTGCTGTCGCCTTGCTCGTCCCCTTCTCTTGCTCTTGTCACGGTTCCTACTATATAAGCCCGCCCCCGTTACTCTGACCAAACCAGGCCCCGGCGACGCGGCCGGGGAAGTCCAAGCAGAATGCCATCCTGCCAAGTGCTGGAAGATTGTTCCATAGATTCAGCTTCTTGTGATAGCTATGGACATTATCCGTCTTGGCGTCATGTTCTTGGGGCTCTTGTCACATGTTCTAGTATTCCAGCACTGGATTTACATTTCGTATCCGCACGATTTTGAATAATTTTGAAGCCTCCTCTTGAAGACAAGATAAACTTTCGAAGGCGTGTGGGGCGGCGGAGGTTCGAGGTGTGAGGCTGTGACAATAAACACCAATCCTACATGCTCAGACCGCGAACAAGGCCAATGCTGGATCAGAAGCCGCGACAACACGCAGAGCAGGGCTTTGACCACTCTTTGGGGCACACCAAAATCTGCACTTCGATGACTCTGGAACGCGGCGCTCTGTCCTGTCGCACCAGCCGCCAAAATGCTCAGGAGGCTCCTTGCGGCACATACTTGCGCTGCATTTGATACGTGCACCGTCTAGCTGCCACACGTCATGGGCACAGCATGTCGAGAAGGTGATCGCGGAAGGACTGTGACAGAATGTGGAAAGCTTCTTCTGTGCAAAGGCGCGGCCTGCAGTTGACAGGACATGCTTTCGCAGAGAACTAGAATCTTGCCTGTAAGCACCCAGGAAGTATGCCGTATGCTAGCTCATTTTGACACTCACTAAGTCATGCAGCACAGAAACATTGGACCGTGAGCGAAAGAACAGCTCCAGGTTCCGTAGCCTGCTCCCTCTTGGCACGTTCCAGGTCATTGTGAAGCCTGCAATTGCAAGAGAGGCATACAAAGATGGATACTTGGCAAAGTCTCGTATAGTTCTTGACAACGACCTGTCAAATCGGGACTGGGGATATCGGCGCTCCAGATCGCCTGAGAGTGTTTACGGCAATTGAAAGCAAGACGTAACAGTTTTGGGCATGGGATTGGGAACCTCACCCTCAGCTCGCAAGCAAACTGTGCATGGACGCGGCTCGACACCTGACAACGTCGCCGACGGCGATGTGGCCGTCCCGGAGGGTGACCCTCCCGCGAGTGCTGCCATCCTCAGAAGCATGCCGGACCGGAGAAAAGAGCAGATCGCCTTGCAAAATGCAAGAAGAGCTGCAAGCATAGATAGCTTTATATCACTTCTCTGTACCCCAACAAGTTTACATCATGACCACGAGCATAGTCGCAATCGCGATACCTTCCCAGAGCCGCCTCGCAAGCGGGACAGCCTGTCTAAGTGGTCTTCAAGCCTAGCCTCCGAGCGGAAAGGCTTAAATCTAAACGGTAGCAACTGGAGACAGTGGAGCGGGCTACCGCAGTCCGAGCTCGAGGACAGAGAAAGAGGCTCGGCACCCGACCCCAGCTGGTGTCGTGGTGCCACCGCCCGCCTCGAGCACGCTTCAAGGTTTGCAGTTGAGAGTCGACCCTGACCTGCAACAGCTTGCTCGCGTGATGGTTTGTAAGGCCGAGGTGCAGCCTTTTCCAGGTGCAGGACTAAGTCTGACTGCCGACAGAGAACCCAAGTCGGGGTGATCGGGAGTTGTTCAAATTTTGGCGATGGCCGTGAAAAGTGGCGTTGGCTCAGAGCCCAACACAGACTTCCTAAGTTGAAGCTTACCAGAAACCCGCACATCCGTTAAACCCCCATACAGACCCCTCTTGCCATGAACGAAACCAGCAAGGCCGCTGCCCCGTTTCGAGCTGTCGCCGGTATCCGACGCAAACCTCAGGCTTTCCCAGGAAAGTAACTTAGCATAGGGTTGGGAATAGAAGGTTTAGGGGGTTCAGGCTTTAGGGCTCGAAAAAAGGGTGGGGGTTTACGGCTCTGGGGCTTGAGATCTCACGTTCACTCCCAAGCGCAACCATGCTCGTTCCTTGTCAAATCCTGAAGTCTTAACACGAAACTCTCCTTCCCAAAAGCCTACCTTCTGCATACAAATCCAGAGCTTCGTCTCTTCACCCCACAACCCAAACACAAGATTCGCAACCCGGCTGCAAGCCCCGAAACCCCAAGACTCCAACACCACCAATTTCTTGAACCTTCAGGCTCGAAATTCGCTCCTCAGCCACTATCCAAACCACCCAAATCTGTGCATGCCTCACATAGCCGGTTCCCGGCAGCCTAAACCTCTCCCTGAACCCCCCCAAGCTCTAAAAGCCTCAAGGACAGAAGCCTCACAGGAAAGCCCCTAAGGATGCCCGCTAGTTCCGAGTCCCTACACCTTGAAGAACCCTAAACCCTAAACCCTAAAGAGAAAAAGCCCAAGCCGCTGGAAAGGAGTCCGGTGGCTACGCGGGCAGCTAAGGCTGGGCTGCTCGGAGGCCGCACCGGGCCTGCTCTCCCTTTAGGGTTTAGGATGTAGGATTTATAAGGGCTCTATTTAGGCTTTTAGGGTTCGGGAGTTAAGGCTTCAGGGCTTGAGGGTATCGGTTCTTTGGAATCGAGGACGAATAGCGGAACCGATGGCCGAAGCAGATGAAGAGGAAGTCCACGAGGAATGGTAATCATGAGAACATTGACGACGAAACTCTGAACATGAGATTTACAGGAGTGAAGCTAGAACAAACCTAGCAACGAGGAACATGAAAAGGATGCTAGTCATCACCATGATCTGTATTGTCATAACCTATACTGGAAACAGCACTACCTCTAGCAGCAAATTATGTAATTTTTCGCTCTAGTGCCAGTAACATTCCACTACTGCTATCACTGGTGGACCTCCTCCTCATCCTCCCTCTGCCGCTGTTTCTGGTCCTGGTACTTTGGGGTTACACACTGCGCCTGGTAGTTACTTGCAGCTGCTGCTACTGCTACTGCTTACTACCTGTACGACGACGACGACGACGACGACGACGACGACGACGACGCGATACTCCAGCCTGCAGCCTTCAGCCCGCGTGCCGAGGCCGTGAGAAGGCTGCTGAGACCTCACGTTGATTCGCACAGCATGCCAGCGCTTGTCAATATCATCGTTGCTAGGTGGCGACCCGGCTCAGTCACATGGTGACGGTGATGAAGAGGACGATTATGATGATGGTGGTGATGATGGTGGTGATGGTGGTGATGATGATGATGATGATGACGGTGATGATGGTGATGATGGTGATAATGGTGATAATGATGGTGGTGATGGCGGTGATGATGGTGATGAGGATGATGATGACGACGGTGATGATGGTGATGATGGTGATAATTGTGCTAATGGTGATGAGGGTGGTCATGGTGGTGATGATGGTGATGAGGATGATGGGGATGATGATGATGATGATGATGATGGTGGTGGTGGTGGTGGTTGTGGTGGTGGCTGTGGTGGTGGTGGTGGTGGTGGTGGCGTGGTGGTGGTGGTGGTGGTGGTGGTGGTGGTGGTGGTGGTGGTGGTGGTTGTGGTGGTGGTGTGAGATAGTAGTGTTAGTAGTGATGATCATGAAAGGGTGATGCTGATGCTGATGCTAAAGCGTGCAGGTGGCTGTGCACGTTGCTGTGAGCATCACGTGCACTAGCTTTCGCTTGTGTAGTGGCAACAATTAGGATTCTACTTCGCTGATGATTGCTACCATTACTGCGATAATGGAGCAGCGAAGATTGGAACTATTCTCAGCTGTAAAACTAATCCTGCGAGAGTTGACAAACGGTTCTGACACACAAATCCACAACAGTTGCCATGATGATCAGGTTTGTACATGTCACACATAAACTACTACCAGTAGGGCTAGCATTGCCAGTTGCCCTGGGTATGCTTCTTGCGATCTTGATTATGGTAGGCTTGCAGGTGTAGCTGCCCTTTAGGCAAACACACCCGTCACTTTCATTCTGACCTCCGTCACGTGCTACATGATACTTTAGCTTTCTCCTTCGTCTGACTCTGTCAATTCTGGTCGCCCTACCCAGAATGCGCTACATTCTGCATGCGTGCTTGCTCAGCGCTGCTACTCTTCCTTTTGCTACTACTGTCATTACGACGACTGCTACTGCTACTGCTGCGACAGCTGCCACTACGGCTACGACGTCGAGACCTTGCCACAGCGATTCCAACATATTCCAAACTTGAGTTTGTCATGTTGGCTAGATCCTGAAACTGCTGTGCTGAGCCCCGCACTGGGCAGCAAGCTCGTGCTACCTTGCAAGCGCACCAAGCATAACGATGCTGTGGACAGAACTTCAGGAGCCACTTTGTATGAGGGCCTTAATAACTAGAAAAGGGTTTTGGTGTATATTCTACTATAATCATTCCAAGGAACCCCCAAAATAGTATTGGTAGTAAGTTATTTAGGCCTCTAGTCGCATGGTCAGAGCACCAAAGCCATCACCACAGAGCTGAAAGCCTGCGGCTCCCTCGCTCCCGGCCTGTGGCACGGGGGTTCGGGGCCGACGTCCCCGTGGCGGTGGCCTTCGCTCGAAAAAGGTTCCCGGACTTCACAAAAGAGCCCGGCGAGGCTTTCGATTTCTGTAAGCCAAATTGTCAGGTCTTTCTCGGCATAATTATCGTGCCTGCACTGCGACCTCGGCCAGCGCCCTACCATCTGCGGCTAGCGCAGCAACAGCGGCGGAAATCCAGGCCAGCAAAGCTGCGCTGCCTTGAGGCTTGGGGCTTAGGGATTTTGGGGATTGACTCGCTTTTGCGGTTTCGGGTGTAGGGATTGAAGATGTAGGGCGTGCACCTGAACCCTAATCCAAGCCAAGAGCAACAAAAACAATCACCCCAAAGCCACTGAGCCCTGTCTGCTCTGAACTTCTGAAGATGTCTCTCCGCACTCTGTGCTGGCCCACCTCGCTCGTCCTTTTTTAGCACTGCCAAGAGCTCCTTCGCCAGGCAAACAAATGGTTCGTCTTGAAACTGCAGGTCCAGAATTGAGAGATCGAAGCAAGCAAGTCGTACAGGGGTTTCGGATGTACGACTTGGGGTTTTGGGGGAATTTGCTAGGAATATGGGAATGGCGCATACAGGGATCATACTGGAAACATCCTGCTGGCGATTGTCAAGTAAAGCTGCCCGGGAAAAGCACGGGCAGCTGAAAAGCAACACTTATAAGCTGCAAGCGTTCCGGGCTCCAGGAGTTTGGAGTTGAGTTGTCAATCTTACAGCTGCTGCAGGTGCCAGGATCATGCTTCAATCGGAAACCATCGGTCCAATGTTCTAAAAGCAGCGAAGTCGAGCTCTCCCCATGCAAGCAGAGCTCCTCAAGGGCTGCGTTGCCAGCTTCAGATCCTGTGTGGTCGCAAAGATGTCGCCTCGGATGTCATGGCCACCAACGGCTGTATGTGCATCTACCGTACATGCACCTGTCCGTATCTGTTGCTGCTATCATTAGCTACTCTGATTACTCTGATTGTACTCTGCCCGGCACCTCTGATCAAGGCTCTTGGGTACTGGCATCGTCGCTAGAGCACAAGTTCCGGCTTCGCGGAGGGCCTGGGCGTTAGGCTTTTAGGGCTTCGGGCTGTGACGGTTGGGGAACACGACCTCCGGCGGGTTCGGGGGAACAGGGCTCCTGATGCACACACGCGGCCCTCAACAGTGGCCTTGAATCTGAGCCTCGCACTCCTGGGGCGATAGGCAAGGGACCACCGACGGATTTGGCGTTCGGCTCCTGCAAAACACCCGGAACGTCTTGTTGTAGCCCAGACCCTCAGAAGTGGCACCCCTGTCGAACCATGAAACGTCTCCGGAATGATTTCAAGCAGACCTTCGGGTCTTCCCTCGGCACGAGAAGAAGGAACTGGCGCATGACGAACAGCCACAAAGGCACCTGCGGAGGTTACCGAAAACATGACAAGCCCTGTGCCCGCATGATCTTTGCAGGACTGATGTTTCGCTGCCAGCAGGACTGTCAAGGAGAAGAAGACGAAAAACACGAACGATCTGGTCAATGACAACTGCAGCACCAGCAACAACTTCAACTACTACTGCTGCTACTACTACTACTACTACTGCTACTACTACTACTACTACGACGACGACGACTACGACTACGACTACGACTATGCCGACAACTACTACCACCATCACTACCACAGTGACACCAAACGTGAGCAAAAACGACCGCTGTTGGCTGCAGGACGACATGTCTGCTGTTGAAATCGTGCTTCGTGCTAATGTTGCTGTTGGTGCTACTGCTGCCCCTGCATGCATAGTCTGTCGTTTATTGAGACGCACATGCACGTACATATCGCCATCAATATAGTTGCTGCAGCAAATCAAACAGTATTTGCTATCGACGCTGCACCGCTACGAGGGTGAATGTTGTCGAAGCCAGCGTAGCATCATGACTTTACATTCTCGTCGCTGATGTAGTGATGGCTGTTGCTGCTCTCTGCTCCAGCAATTGCCACACAGGGATGACATGAGTTGGTCAACGACTACTACTATGACGACGACGACGACTACTCCTACTCCTACTACTCCTCCTGCTGCTGCTGCTACTGCTACTGCTACTACTACTGCTACTGCTACTGCTGCTACTACTACTACTACTACTACTACTACTACTATTACTCCTCCTCCTACTCCTGCTCCTACTCCTACTCCTGCTCCTAC